TATATATATATATATATATATATATATCAGACACATGTATAATGATTAACAAACTCATAGAATGAAACGTACGTGTGTATCAGAGACGCGCACAGCGTACATACCCGCTCGGTACACCGTATTCTCCGTTGACTTAACCCCTGATATGCTACCACCTTTCCCGGGTGACCCTTTGACAAACCCATCCATAGACGGGCCCTCCTCATGTTTTGATACGTCGCCAAGACTACTAGAACTATTGCCTGTGCTCAACATACCCCTCATCTGTTCTCGGCTGGGCGACCGTAGCAACGTATTCGCGCGTAAGCGAGACAACGTCCTAGTATGGTTGCTATTCCCGTGCAAGGCACTATTTGGCCCCTCCTTTGACCCCCCCCCGCTCCCCACCACACTGCCCCCACCACACTGCGCGGTGCCTTCGGTTTGTATAGTCTCTGAGCTGTCTATCAGCTGCAGCGCGGTCATATGCTCGACCGCCTCTCTCATACTCACAGGTGAATAGATGGGCGTTGTAGTATGACTCTTCTGTGACAGCATGCGCGTAGGCCTATCCCGGCTGCTCCCTCGAGGAGTGGGGGGTCGTGGGGGGTTGTCTGGGTTAGTCATGCGCCTAAGTCCCCGATCATCCACCCGTGATAAACTCGGGGTCCTAAACGGTGGGGGGGTGGCGTGTAGTGAATGGGCTCGGTCGGGTCGGCTTAACTTCGCGCTCTTCCTAGCGTGGCTATTTGCTAACCGGTTACCAAGACTATCTCCCCTGCTGCGGTGTAACCCCGTTGGTGAGGACTGGGCAAAGGACCCGCTTTCTAAACTGGTCTGCTTGTGCAACACGGGCACATCGTTGCCATGACGATCGATCCTGGAATTCACATCGCTATCTGAATGCGCACTGTTTACGCGTGTTAGCTGCATACCCTGACCCGCAGAGTGGTCACTATGTGAGAAATCAGAAGGCTTGGGAGATACGTGTGGAGATATGTTTGGAGAGTCTTTTGGGCTGTTATTTGTGCTGTTGCTCATGTTGTTGATCGCTACCTGCTTGCCTAATTTGATCTCGACAAGCCCCAAACTGCCCCTGCGCTTACCTTCTATACCGAGTCCCAGCACCACAGAGGATATTTTGGGGCTGCTTTGGGTCTTGTTGAGGGTCTTCCCACTGGCTGTCGTGGTGGATAGGTTACAAAACCCATCGGCAGACCCCGACAGATCGAATGTGTACGCCGAATTCGCAAGTGAGCTGCCGGATGACGCACCTGATGGGGAAGAGGCCTCCCCTGATTGGTGTGATTTACGGATTCTAACACTTGTTTGTGTTGCTGTTGGTAGACTGATTGGGGCTGAGGATTTTCCCGCGCCGCTTTCTTGCGGGCGTACATGTGTGTGTGCATGTTTCTGTGATTGTGTGTATGTATTTGTGTGAGAATCTAAGCTGCTCTGTTTGGTATCCTTATCCCCGCCAGGGGGAATAGATGAGCTCATGTTAAAATTACAGTTGATGCTTCACAATATCGCACACGAACACACATAATTAGGCGTTCTGGAAGTGTTCGCGTGTATATCAATCGCTGCGTGTACCTCGGACGTCACCGTATTGAAATCTAGCAAAGTAATAATAATAGCAGTTGACGTAGATAGATCGGACTGTCTGCATTGCGCACGAGAGTGTTGAACCCGCCTTAGCACAAGGTCTAGCTACTGTATGCATCGGCGTACACTCACTACAACATGATGTGTCGGCCTGTACTACTATCCAGTACTACCCACGCAGTGGCTGTCCGGAGACGCGATGAAGTGGAATGAGTGTGTAGCCGTGATACAACTTGTCCTGATACTACAACAACAGTATGCGATCAGGCATCTCTCGCTTGAATTGGTGGAGTTATAGTATGTATTCATTTAGTGTTATTTTAAAAATACTATTTTAGAACAGTATCAATTCAATTGTGTTGTAATATTATTACAGACCAACACAATTGTGTTATTTTCGTTTGGGAAATTCGAAAAGGCTATTTCGTCATCCCAATTGTGAAAACTCATTTCAGAATATATTACTCAATAGATATTGGTTCAAAAATAGATTTCCAATTAAAATAGGTTTATAAATACTTTACCAATTATTTCAGCAGTATTTATTTGTCTATTCGTTGCAAAATGCCAGATCTATTATTTCGCGCACATACCAAGAATTGCACTGACCAATACAAACTATTGTAAAATAGAGCCTCACAGATGGGTCAATGATAAATAATTATGCATCACTCTCGTACTCTCTCTGATATAAACACTAAACAGAGCCTTTACTTTCATGACCCTATCGAAGGAAAAATAAAAAATACATACAATAGACCGAAATGCAGCTCGTGAAGCGTCCCGAAGGAATATTTTATATGAGATGTGTGTTTTTATATGTACATTTCATAATATCGTTGCTTGTTGCGATTATTTCATGACCATTTCTGATTTCTGAAACTGAAGAAGAAAAAAATCTGAGAAATCTTAAAAGTTGTTTTAGATAATGAATATACACATGATAATGCTTCGTGAGACGATGTGAAAATGTGTATATCAGTTAAACCACTTATCTTTATTTGATAGTCACACTATGC